CACACAGCATGAATCACAATAAACAAACATCACACAGCATGAATCACAATAAACAAACATCACACAGCATGAATCACAATAAACAAACATCACACAGCATTTAATCACAATAAACAAACATCACACAGCATGGATCACAATAAATAAACATCACACAGCATGAATCACAATAAACAAACATCATACAGCATGAATCACAATAAATAAACATCATACAGCATGAATCAATAAACAAACATCACACAGCATGAATCACAATAAATAAACATCACACAGCATGAATCAATAAACAAACATTACACAGCATGAATCAATAAACAAACATCACACCAGCATGAATCACAATAAACAAACATCATACAGCATGAATCAATAAACAAACAACACACAGCATGAATCACAATAAATAAACATCACACAGCATGAATCAATAAACAAACATTACACAGCATGAATCAATAAACAAACATCACACAGCATGGATATAGATACGCCTATGATTTTTATATGGATTTTAAATTTAGTTTTTTTCAGACAGTTAATCAAATAACTTTAACTGTTTATTAAAACTGTTACAGTTTTAAAAAGGTAATTGGAAAGACATTTCTAGCTTTAGTGTTTTTGTTTTTATTAAGACAAGTTAAGTAAAGATAGCTATCTCATTTATATTGCATTAATAAGATTATATCAACATATTGGCTAAGACTTTTCTACGGCTTCATGAGCGTTGTATAATTTACATACGGTTAATTAAATTATAAATATTGGCTTTCAAGCGCCACCAGGTTGCAGCAACGTTGCCGACAGAAGAAACTTAATCATGTAATGAAGAAAACTAATTTTGTATTTTGTTCACCAAATATCATCGTTCCTATAATAAATAAACATATTAAACATAAATTTAATCTTGTATTTTGTTCACCAAATATCATCGTTCTTATAATAAATAGCCATATTAAACATAAATTTAATCTTTGTATTTTGTTCACCAAATATCATCGTTCCTATAATAAATAAACATATTAAACATAAATTTAATCTTGTATTTTGTTCACCAAATATCATCGTTCTTATAATAAATAGCCATATTAAACATAAATTTAATCTTGTATTTTGTTCACCAAATATCATCATTCTTATAATAAATAAACATATTAAACATAAATTTAATCTTGTATTTTGTTCACCAAATATCATCGTTCTTATAATAAATAGCCATATTAAACATAAATTTAATCTTTGTATTTTGTTCACCAAATATCATCGTTCCTATAATAAATAAACATATTAAACATAAATTTAATCTTGTATTTTGTTCACCAAATATCATCGTTCTTATAATAAATAGCCATATTAAACATAAATTGAATCTTTTGTAAAAATGAGTTGTTTTATATTTCCTTTCCACACGAACGATTTTGAGACTATTAAAAAATCTGATTCGCTCTTTGTTCTCTAACCTAATTGTGTATTTCTTATTCAAACAGCGCGGGAAATCGGTCTGAAAAGAAAGTCTTTACTCCCTCAAGTAAGTTCGTTGTTTAAAATGAATAATTTATTAAAGTCGAGACTAGCCCTATCATCATGAGACGAATTACAGGTAGGAACTATCAAAAAACTCAATTTCCCACGTTACAAAAATGAACTTTTCTCCTATTGCGCTACAACCTGGAGTTAGCTAAAAACAACAAACAAATAAACTAGAGGCGTGTTTCAACTTTTATGTAGAACTCTGCGAAAAGAAAATAATATTAACTGTAAATGTGTTGGAAGACAAAGATTTCATAAACTTGTACTGGTACTCTTTACGATAACAAACTCCACATGCTGAGGCTGAATACAAGAAGGTTAGTAGGGCATTGGTGCATTAGTACACGCGTTTAAACCAAAACAACAATAAAACATCTAGACACTCCAGTCGTACAGATGGAATTCTGAAACGAACTACAGCTGGAATAATACATTACATTAACGTTTGAAACTGTTAATATAGACTAGAAGTATGTTTTATTTCTGAACAGTGGAGAAAGAATTTCGCTGGCTAACAACTGTCGTCTGATAGTATGTTTTATTTCTGTACAGTGGAGAAAGAATTTCGCTGGCTAACAACTGTCGTCTGGTAGTATGTTTTATTTCTGAACAGTGGAGAAAGAATTTCGCTGGCTAACAACTGTCGTCTGGTAGTATGTTTTATTTCTGAACAGTGGAGAAAGAATTTGCGGAAATTCTTTCTCCACTGTTCAGAAATAAAACATACTACCAGACGACAGTTGTTAGCCAATTGGCTGACAACTGTCTGCAGAACCTCGTTACGTTTGATAATACTGTGCTTCAGCTTAAGTTGACAAAATTTTAAGATCCATTTATTTCATAGAGTATAATTATATATATAAACACAAAAATAAAGGGTTTATCCGCATAAAGATCTAATCAAAACAAGTATAAAAACAGCCAAGTCAGAATAAAGGGGTCGATGAAATTAAAAGGTGATCAAAACATTACACATATACCAAAACAGCCAAGTCAGAATAAAGGGGTCAGTCATATAAATATGTGGTATTAAAAAGCAGGATTGTAGATCATGAAATAGTAATTTATGTATCTAGATATTATGTACGTGGAGACGAACAGTTCTGTCTATTTATGGATCTATTAGGCAAACAGTAATACTTTTTTTTCCTATTTTAAAACGTTAAATGCTTTTTTCTTGTGATTCAAATCAGCGAGAGTTTGTATTATACACGTTTTAATGTAGTAAACCTTTTACTTGATAAGCTTCTTTTTTTACGTTCATTAAAACATGAACACACGAAGTTAGTCTATTTAAGTATTTTGAGTTCGATACTAGAAAATGTCAAAAATACAATCGATAAAAACAGCACTATTTGTAGTGTTCTTTAAATGTTCATTTCTCACATATAATACATTTTAATATGGTATATTACTTTAATTAAAACTACGGCTCACCTTAAGTAGTATTCGAACCTCACATGTCTGGTGAAGCAATTAATTCAGATGTAGCGTTTTAAGACCACTATCCCAGTCCTTTACTTTAGATTCTCTTCGTACCCCTCGATTGTTCAATCGTTAGTTTTAGCCTAGTGGCTGAATAGGTTACGACAGCGTTACTCAACCATTATAACCTGGCTCGAGTCATTACTGTACCTCTAGATACGATGAAGTTCTGTATGTAGGGTCACGACAGTGTTACTAACGGGCTGGTAAGGAAAACTGGCCGTGTAGTGACAGTCTAACGGGCTGGTAAGGAAACTAGGCCGTGTAGTGACAGTCTAACGGGCTGGTATGGTAAACTGGTCGTGTAGTGAAAGTCTGACGGACTAGTATGGAGAACTGGTAGTGTAGTGAAAGTCTAACGGGCTGGTATGGAAAACTGGTCGTGTAATGACAGTCTAACGGACTAGTAAGGAAAACTGGTCGTGTAGTGACAGTCTAATGGGCTGGTATGGAAAACTGGTCGTGTAATGACAGTCTAACGGGCTGGTATGGAAAACTGGTCGTGTAGTGACAGTCTAACGGACTGGTATGGAAAACTGGTCTTGTAGTGACACTCTGACGGACTAGTATGGAAAACTGGTCGTGTAGTGAAAGTCTGACGGACTAGTAGGAAAACTGGTCGTGTAGTGAAAGTATAACGGTCTGGTATAGAAAACTGGTCGTGTAGTGAAAGTCTGACGGACTAGTATGGAAAACTGGTCGTGTAGTGACAGTCTAACGGGCTGGTATGGAAAACTGGTCGTGTAGTGAAAGTCTGACGGACTAGTATGGAGAACTGGTCGTGTAGTGAAAGTCTAACGGGCTGGTATGGAAAACTGGTCGTGTAGTGAAAGTCTGACGGTCTGGTATAGAAATCTGGTCGTGTAGTGACAGCCTAATGGGCTGGTATGGAAAACTGGTCGTGTAGTGAAAGTCTAACGGTCTGGTATGGAAAACTGGTCGTGTAGTGACAGTCTAACGGTCTGGTATAGAAAACTGGTCGTTTAGTGACAGTCTAACGGGCTGATATTAAAAACTGGTCGTGTAGTGAAAGTCTGACGGACTAGTATGGAAAACTGGTCGTGTAGTGAAAGTCTAACGGGTCTGGTATGGAAAACTGGTCGTGTAGTGAAAGTCTAACGGACTGATTGTCTACCTTTCATTTATATTTCAAGTACTTTAGGTTTAAAGTATTTTTACTACTAGAGAGTATAGGTGAATCCACATAGCAGTGCACGATGCAATAATCTGGGGGAAAACCCATTGCAACATCTAGTACTACGTCAAGTTAGCGTGACTAACTTAATCTATTCAAAATGGCGTAATAATGACATGAATTTCTACATTTTAATTCGGTTGGAAAACTAGTAGTGTATAAAGGTTTATAACGAAATTAATTACAGAGGTGTAACCATCAATATCCATTAGAAATACTATGTATAATTACATAGTTGTAACCATCAATACTAAGTATAATTACAGAGGTGTAACCATCAATACCCATTAGCAATACTATGTATAATTACAGAGATGTAACCATCAATACTATGTATAATTACAGAGGTGTAACCATCAATATACATTAGAAATACTATGTATAATTACATAGTTGTAACCATCAATATACATTAGAAATACTATGTATAACTACAGAGATGTAACCATCAATATCCACTAGGAATATTCTGTATAATTACATATATCTAACCATCAATATCCATTAGGAATATTCTGTATAATTACAGAGAGGTAACCATCAACATCCATTAGGAATATTCTGTATAATTACAGAGATGTAACCATCAATATCCACTAGGAATATTCTGTATAATTACAGAGATGTAACCATCAATATCCACTAGGAATATTCTGTATAATTACATATATCTAACCATCAATATCCATTAGGAATATTCTGTATAACTACAGAGATTTAAATATCAATATCCACTAAGAATATTCTGTATAATTACAGAGAGGTAAGCATCAACATCCACTAGGAATATTCTGTATAATTACAGAGATGTAACCATCAATATCCACTAGAAATATTCTGTATAATTACAGAGATGTAACCATCAATATCCACTAGAAATATTCTG